CACCCACTATCACGTTCTTGAAATTCTTCCAAAGATGCCAAAGTAGGCTCGATGACGCGTTGCTCGTATCATTTATCCAAATCTAAAGCAGAAAAGAGTTCACTGTTTCTCGTGTTAATGCTTTTGAATGCATGATTGTCGCCTGCGATAAACTCGCCATTGAACACAGTGTTCACCTTAAGATTGTCGTGCCTTTCCATAGCACTTCGCACGTGCTCGAGCACTGTAGCTTCTTCTTCTTCGCATCTTGAAGAAATCGAAGAGATTCAATATAATTCACGTTAATAACTGCGCCGGTTGATATGCGGCTTTCGAACGCTGTATCAATTTCTCTCCATACCAATTCTGCATCTCTTGATACGTATCCAGCACCCACGTGTACGAAGCGTTCTTGCACAGAAATTTTCGTTTACTGTGCGATGGTCCTACCACTTATAAGGGGAGGACGCATCGACCGGGAAACGGTTTGGAACGAAACTTACGGAGTTAATAGTACTTGACTACTAATAACTCATGGTAATAGCATACGACGCAATACCTCTTTATTTTCGAGAAAAAACGGTCTAAAGAAAAGAGTCAATAAAGTGTACAAGTTAGTTTGAAGGATATTCAACGAAGCGGCGTAGCGCAGCAGCGAAGGTAACGGACTACTGAGGTGACAGCTGAGGTTCGACCTCTGCTGTATGGTTTTTTTTCTATTTTATAAGCACAAAAATGAAACAGAAAACATTAATAAGTAATAAAACTGCGTTTCTTAAATATATTAGTGTTTGTTAAATATACTATTAATGATTTAAATTGCAAAAAAACCCTAAATCTTATCTATAAAATATATAGTGTGTGAGAAAATTTTTATATAATAATTGCAATGGAAATAGGAATAAAAATATTGTTATGAAATATATAGGAATGCTAACCCTTTGCGGTCGATGCCGCCACAGTGGCGGCATTCGTAAGTCGTCGTAGAAGTCGATGCCGCCAGGCTAGCATTCATGATCGCCTGGCGTGCGGCACGGCAAATGAGGCTAGCGATAATGAAAGAAAACTATCCTCCCGATGCTAGATTCAAATGTTTAGATCAACTTACAGATATCCATGTTTATCGATCTCTTCGAAATCAGCCGATCGCAAAAAGTAAAACTAGTATGAGATAATTTTTCATAATCTTATATCGTATATATAAAATATTTATTTCTGTTACAATTCTCTATGTTGTATTGAAGTCGTGTTGTGTTAAAGTTATATTGTGTCTTTACCTCTTCTGGCAATCCCCCCCAAAAACTTCCTTTGTGTCATTCTAAACGATCGTTAAGAATGACGAAATGATTCGAGCATCGGAACAGTCGTCAGTAAAGCAAGCAGCAGTGTGCGTTTACTAGTGATACAGAGCAATTCGGTGATCATATTTAAATTACATATATCATAACAATGTCAGAGAGAGTCTTCAACAAGCAAAATAGTTGGTGTAGAATTGCTAGAAGAAAGATCTTTTGAAAATGAAGATTTTAAAGGTGAATTCACTAATGCTCTCGTATATGCGAATTCTATTTACGAGAATAATGAATTATTATCGAAAAATCCTCCAACGAAAATATATATTTTTACTCTTATTTCCATTGCAATTATTATATAAAAATTTTCTCACACACTATATATTTTATAGATAAGATTTAGGGTTTTTTTTGCAATTTAAATCATTAATAGTATATTTAACAAACACTAATATATTTAAGAAACGCAGTTTTATTACTTATTAATGTTTTCCGTTTCATTTTTATGCTTATAAAATAGAAAAAAAACCATACAGCAGAGATCGAACCTCAGCTGTCACCTCGGTAGTCCGTTACCTTCGCTGCTGCGCTACGCCACTTCGTTGAATATCCTTCAAACTAACTCGTACATTTTGTTGACTCTTTTCTTTAGACCGTTTTTTCTCGAAAACAAAGAGGTATTGCATCGTATGCTATTACCATGAGTTATTAGTAGTCAAGTACTATTAACTCCGTAAGTTTCGTTCCAAACCGTTTCCCGGTCGATGCGTCCTCCCCTTGTTAGACCATCATAGGTTAGGTTGGAAGAGAATACGAAACGTTCGTCGAAAGAGTATTTTACCATGCCGACTTGCGCCGGGCACTATCCTCATCGTTCTGAGGAGGGGGAAGGGAAGTAAAATGGGAGACATATAGAATTAATTTATACATAATTTTATGTTTTCCAGAATATCATTTATTTGTTCACGGTTTCATACATTATATTTTTTACAGCGCATGCTAACAATTCACAATCAATGAGCGACTCGCGCTCAAAGTCGCTGCTTTCTTGTATTATTTTTGTTGCAGTATGTATATTAGTAATATAATTCTTCTTTTCACGAAGAATATTTACAAAACTTTTGAATTTTACACTAACTATATAGATATTTTCTCATAACCATCCATACATGTGATTGATGCAATTTTCAAATGCAAATAATACATTTAACATATCTGGTGTTACATATAAGCAATTATTAAAAATTGTGCGTTTCCCAATTTGTGAGTTGTACATCTTACATGACGTTATTGTTAATTCTTCTATACGCATCGGAGGAGACGATGACCTATAAAAATTGGCCTGCAGAAATCTTTGGATATCAGCACGTTGCCCCATTAGCGCATTCCAAGTTTTGATCGGCAATAGCAGTTGTTTGCCACGATTATCATCAATGCCTATGTCTATGACGGGTTTAGCTCCTACGCTGATTCCGATATTCAAATATTTATAAGCAGTTACAGTCAAAGCGAATCGGCGTCCTAAGATATGCATAGCAAGAGGTCATGGAACGCTGAAAAGATATAGAAAATTTACATGTCTGAATCTTGGAAAAATTACTATGGATAAACTAAAAGAAACAGCATTATGACACTCATCTCTCGCACATTTTCTTGCTCGGTGGAGCCTCGTCCTCATGTTGAGCAGGCATGTAATAATTTGCGTGTTTAGCGTTCACTTCAGCACCGGCAGCATACATTTTTACTATGTAGTATAAAAAATAAAAATAAATTCATTAATAAACTTCTAATATTACAACAACTTTAATGGTTCCTACAGTTACTTGTAGGAGTTAACAGTTAACAGTTAACAGTTAACAGTTACCTGTTATTGTCCCGTACAGTCGCTTATAATATATATATGTGTTAATAATCAAAACCCTGCTTTATAGTGACTTTAGAAATAATACAAGGAATACGGCCGAACAATTTCATGGTGATATATTACGTTAACGAGGCAATACTTCTCATGTTCCAAAATTGTATTATACGTGACATGCTGCAATGCCTGGTACAGTCTTTTATATACGATAAATGTTAGACGCCCTGATTGCGAAATCTGGCTTTGTAAAGACCTCGGGGATAGATAGAGGAATATGTTATAACAATTTGGTGCTGTTATATGACAGCAAAGAGATAAAATATTTTTTCTTGTAACATGGTATTTCGCGGGACTCGCTGCGATGTTTCGTACGACACACGCTTTATTAATATATGATAAATTTTTGACGGCCGGAATGCAAAATCTGGCACTGTAGGGACCTCGATAATAGTTCAAGGAATATTCCATATCAATTCGGCGGTTACATATATATTACGCCAACAAGGCGGAATATCTCTTCTTTTGAAATTGTATTCGCGTAATTCGCCTTAACGCTTGATGCATCTTTATTTATTTATAATAAAAGTTAGACAGCCTGATTGCAAAATCTGGCTTTATGAGGATCTTAGAAATAGTTTTAGAGATATGCTATAACAATATGTTGATGACATATTACATGGTGAAGGAATACATCTCAAACACAGTGAAGGAATATATCTCATTTTGTATAATGCTATTATACGTGATCCGCTGCGACGCTTCATACATCTTTATTTATTTATGATACATTTCTCACAGCCTCATTGCAAAATCTGGCTCTGTAGGTTTCTCGGGGATAGTTCAAAAAAGATGCTATAACAATTTGGCGGTGAAACATATCGTCAACGAGGTGAAATTTTGCATCTCCTACAATGAATTTTCAACTGATTCGCTCCAACGCTTGGTACGACGGGCGCTTTATTTATATATTATAAATTTTTGACGACCGGATTGCAAAATCCGGCTTTGTATCGATCTCGGGAATAGTACGAAGAAGATGCTGCAACAATTTGGTAATAATATGTATCGTCAAAGAGACGAAATATTATATCTCGTGAAATGGTATTTCGAGTGACTCGCAGCAACGCTTGGTACAGCGAACGCTTTATTAATGTATAATAAATTTCTGATGGCCGGATTGCAAAATCTGGCTCTATATAGGGTTCTCGGGGATAGTTCAAGGAAGATACCATAATAATTTAGCGGTTATATATATTGTCAACGAGGCAATATATTTGTTCTTGTAAAATTGTATTCCGCCTGACTCGCTGCGATTTGGTACAGCTGACGCTTTATTTATGTATAATAAATTGTTAACAGCCTATTTGTAAAATCTAACTCTGTAGAGATGTCGGAAATAGTTGTAGGAAGATATTATAACAAGTTCATGGTCATATATTACGTCAGTAAGGCAAAATATTGCTTCTTGTAAAATGGTATTCCACCTGACTCGCTGCAATTCCTGGTACGGCTGATACTTTATTTATATATTATAAATTTTGGACGGCCGGATTGTAAAATCTGGCTGTGTAAGGTCCTCAGGGATAGTTCAAGGAAGATGCTGTAACAGTTTAGCAATTATACGTATCGTATATATCGTCAACGAGGCGAAATTTTGCATCTTGTAAAATAATTTTTGGCGTGATTCGCTGCGATGCTTGGTACGGCGAACACTTCATTTATTTTTCATAAATTTTGGACGGTCGGATTGCGAAATCTGGCTTTGTGGTGATCTCGGGAATAATATAAGGAACATGCTATAATAATTTGGCGGTGATATATAACGTCAGCTAGACAAAATACATCAATTTGTAAAATGGTATTGCGTAAGTCGCTGCGACGCTTGGCTCACTCACCCAAAAGCCTGGAAAGCATTTTCTCGCCGTGTATCGGCCGGCGAAATGCCCGAGTGAGTAAGACAAGGACAGCGCGATCGATCGTTCATCCTTGTCAAACTGACCTGACCCAACCTTCCTGCTCTTGCGCTCGCGCGCACGGCATTGGTTCACAGTTTCGCCGCACGAGGCCCTCAAAGTCAACTCTGGATTTGCCTCTGGCTCCTGCAGACCCTTAAGAACGTACGGAGAAAATAGTGAAGATAGTGAATTGATAATCGATGTACTTTATTTAACATAAAATGAACGTTGTTACCGCCTTAAAGTTTTATGTGTCTAAAATGACAGAGGATAGTGGTCCTGGTATGAAAGTTCTGTTAATGGATAAACAAACGGTAAAAATGGTGTATATATATATATCACGTATTTATTTTGTAGTTATAATGTACATTGATAAATGAGTTAGTATTAACCTATTTATATGTATTCCGAATTTTGATTTCTAGACGAGTATAATCAGCTTACTATATAGTCAGTCTGAAATATTGATGAAAGAAGTATATTTATTTGAACGAATAGATACCGCTGTACATAATGATACTTTAAAATACTTAACATGCCTAGTGTTTATAAGGCCAACAAAGGAAAACATCGATTTGCTTTGTAAAGAACTTAGATATCCCAAGTATGGAGTATATTATATTTGTAAGTAATGATATATATCTCACATACATAAAATATAACATTTATTTTCTACAATTACCAACATTTAGAAAATAGGTATATTGTATATGTAATATATAAACATAGGGTGTTCAGTAATAGATACATTTTGTATGTAATAGTATTCGTCACAAAACAATCATCTTTTCATTTATAATGTTATGTTTATGTATTATTACTGATATAAGAACTTTCACAAATTATTTATATATTGGATTATATTTATATATTGAATTAGATGGATATAGCTTTAGAAAGGTTTATCTTGCAATTTCCAAATTTCAAAATAAAACTTGGTAAAACTGTTCCAAATGTTCGCAAATTAACATATTTAAAGTTTCTTAGCAAAATAAATTAACTAAGATAATATTAAAATAATAAATGTAATTATTTAAAAAAAATTATATACTATGAATATAGAATAATCCCCACACAGCTTTATCTCAGGGACATCCGACAGACATTCTGGGATACAGCAATATCTTGGGGATATACAAATGTTTGCTGTTTTAGATCCTACAGATATCCTACGGATATCCCTTTTAATAACTTTCAATTCTTTTTTAGAAACTTTCAGTTTTTTAAAATTGGTATTAAAAGAGATATCCGTAAGATATCTGTAGGATCTAAAACAACGGACATTTGTATATCCCCAGGATATTGGTGTCAGACGTCTCTGAAATAAAGTGTACTGTGTGGGAATCTAGTCTTTGAAGTATATTATAGATATTAATATCTGATTATAAAATATATATTTAATAATATTTTGATTTAAATAAGGACCACTTATAATTTATAAAATATGTTATTTAAACCAATATTTATTTTATTTTAACATTTTATATTAGACTTTATTAGAAAATAAACATAAGAGAAAACTTAATATAATTTTTATTTATATAGTCAATTAAACATAGTAGATAAAAGAATCAGAATCAAATTTTACTCTATTCTCTTTAAATTATCTCTTTAAATTAGTGTATCTATTATATATTGTCATCAGGTATAATCTTTTATATGTTGCATGGATGTAAATATGACATTGATACAGATTGAACAATAGACATGTATTGGATGTTTAGAAGCAAAATATCAATATTAATATATGAAACTTAGAAAGTATTAATTAAAGCATGGATATTGTATTTTTATATGTTTATTTTAAGAAAATATTTTATAGGAATCAATAATATCAAAATTTTGAAATATGGTATAAAATAGTTTAAAAATATCCCATCTGTATTTGTTAAAAACAGAAGGGAAATTAAATGAAATGATTAAGTAATTGATTGGTTATTTTTTCTTCAAGTAAAAGGTAATTTAAGTAATATTAATATTTCTTTACATATTTTATATGCATGTTTCTTATATGTATAAAATATCTATATACTATACATATTTTTTTAATAATCATTTAATTATCACAATTAAAGATTTTGTATGTGCTGTTAATTTCCTTGCTGTTAATCCAAAATTATATACTAAATGATTATCCAAGTAAGAAATTAAGGAAAAATTTAACATCAGTATTCAAAAATTTGGCATGCCTAGATTATATTTTAGAATATACATGAGTTTTTAAATATGTTGAACTTTGCTATAAAATATAGAGAATTTGACAATCTATTTGAATTTATGCAGGCTATACAAAATACTTTTTTATTGTATTCTAGAAACAAAGAGTTAATAGAAATCAGTTATAATATATATATACTTTTATTCATATATATATACACTTTTTTATAGAAATGTTTCAATGTAATCTTATAAATAGTTATTTTACAAAGATTAACATACCTTCATATAATGTTTTAATTTTTTTAACAAATCTTTTGCTTTTCTACATTGAAGGAACTATCATGTACTAAAAATGTATATTTCACAAAGATTAGCAAAAATCTCTATGCAATATTTAAAAGAAGAGACTTTACAAGAAATTAGTGGGAAGTTCAAGTGACATATTTAAAAAATAAGCAATTCTCATTTAATTTAACATATATCAGGGATGCCTAGAATATCAACTTCTATAACATATTTAAAGGGCAAAATCATTCAATATCTATAGTATATAACTTTGGAAAATTATTATTTTAATTATTTTAACATTATTGCAATTAATACATAATTGAATTAAAAAAACTATTTACATATGTTTATCTAAGAATATTTGGAACTATTTTATCAAATTTTAGAATCGAAAGACGCATCTTTCTGCAACTATAATGATGTGAAAGACAATGGGTAAAAAGTACTGATTTTGGTCCATCGTGGGGAACAAACAAAACATCATTTCTATAGGATTTTGACTTGTTGAATACGATGCCGTCGTTAGTTTTCCTCTAAACCTCGGGGAACATATTTAAATCCGAGGATTTATCATCCAATAATCAAATAGCCTGGAAAGCCTTTGCGTAAACTTTGAAGCTATTGCAAATTCGTGTATTAGTTAAATTAGTTGAAGATAGTTTAGATTTTCGATTTAGAAATATTTTCGATGTAACAATTGAAGGTGTTCTCTTTTTATGCAAAATTTGCTAACAAATATACATGATGTCACATATCATCCGTATCACTCGATCTTTTTGTAAAGGCGAAACTTTGTGGAAAAATATTTCAGACAAAAGTTGTATGGTTTCAAAGGCATATGTTAACTATATCATTTTGTTTACAGATGGTGCCACTTTTGAGATATTTACTGATCATTACTTTTTTTAAATGGAAACCTCAATTTTTTATTATATCATTTTTTTCTACCAATTAATTTGAATAACTTTTGTCTGAAATATTTTTTTATTTGCTTAATATTTTTTGAGATATTTAAGAAAAACTCGGTAATTTTTTCAATATTTAACTTACGATATCTCGCTAATTGTTTGTCGGAAGAAAAAATAGTACTAGACTTTTTTATTCTATTTGGTTTCAAGAATATACTGTTATAATAATGCCCTACCTTTTATTAACTTATCGATCTTTGGAAATTTCAAAATTATCAAATTAACAAAAGCTACGATCAGTGAATATCTCGAAAATGGCGTCATCTATAAACAAAATGATATAGTTATTATATGTCACTTTTGAAACCATGCAACTTTTGTTTGAAACATTTTTCCCTAAAATGTCGCATTTACAAAAATCGAATGATACGGGTGATCTGTGACATATTATTGTATATTATTTATTAACAAATTTTGTATAAAATGAGAACACCTTCAACTATTAAATCGAAAATATTTCTAAATCGAAAATCTAAATTGTCTTCAGCTAATTGAGCTAATATACGAGTTTGCAATAGTTTCAAAGTTTACGCAAAGGCTTCCCAGGTCATTCGATTATTGGATAAATCCTCAGATTTGAACATGTTTCCCGGGATTTAGAAAAAAATTAATAAATTAACGATGGTATCGTGTTCAGCAGGTCAAAATCCTATAGAAATAATGTGTTTCATTAGTTTCCCACGATGGGCCAAAATCGGTATTTTTTACCTATTGTTCTTTGTGACACATGAAAATCAAAAATTATCCAAAATGATATAATTCAAAATAAATAATTTTAATGATTTGATATTTAAAAATCTTAATATTAAAAGTTTTCTCTTAAATAATATAATATTTGATTAAGTTATGATAGAAAATATAAAAAAAATTGTTTAAGTTTAAAGTTTTTAATAAATTTAATAATTGGATATCATTCTGTATACTAAAAATAGTTATAATCAATTTTATAATATGAAAGTTAAAACTTATATAAAATATTAAGTTTTATAAAAAATCATAAAAGTTTCTTATGTCTTATATGTTATATTCTTTTGTCTTATATTCGTATGTTAGAGAAAATATTAAATTTTTAAGACCATAACAATTTTTCAAATTGTTAGAATAAGAAATTATTTCATGTTTTAGGATATAACCCATTTGTATCATAATTGTCTTGAAACTTTTTTTTAAGTTTATTAATTGGTATGTATATAAAAAAATGGAAAATGGATTTATAGTTAGTGCTACATCAATTACATGTAATGGAAGATATTAGGAAATATTTTTAACTAAATTTCCCGTTAAACTAAATTAATTAAATATTAAATGTTTCGGAGTTTTTAATTTCTAGTAAATTTTCTAATAATTTTTTAATGCGAATATGTGTAAGCAGATGCAGTGTCACATACTTTTTGCACATTTGTATAATGTAGTTAAATAATTAAAAACTGCATTGTCGTATCAGAAACTATATTTAGAATGAGAAAAAAGGCAAGCAAATCATCACTATTGATTTATATATTGTAGAAACGCTTATAAGTTTCATTGCAGTTAGATTACATTAGATTATGTTTAGGAAGAAGAGGAAGAGAGAGGATTATAACATGTATGTGTCTGTGTGAGAGAGGAAGTGCACATGCACGCGCGTTCGTGTGCATGTGTGTGAATATTAATTTATTTTGATTAATGTAAATATTAATTTATTTTAATTAATTATTTTATTTAATTAATCTTAATTCTATATTAAATAAAAGTGAATCAGTCTTCCATACAAAACGTTTATTTTGATTATATATTTTCTATATTTCACGAGGAGAGGACGCGACGTAATACCAATCGATTTCGACGAAACTCGTTGTAGCGGTATATAGGTATTCAAGTAATATTGAGTTAACATTTAAAACTGGTTGGTTAAAACATAGGTGTTTAAAATAACCATGCGATTGTAAAAACGCAGCTTTTATATGGTGCGCAAAATGTGGTATAAATTATTGCTTTGTTTATTTTTACGACAAAAATATCATTCAGCAATATATATTATCCCATCTACTTCCATCAATTAATAATTAATAACAATTAATAATTAATAAAACATCTTTCACATTTATTTGTATAGTGTATAGTAATCATCTATCTGCAATTATTGTTTACAAACATTATCTGGAATGACATTGATTTATTTCTTACCGTACAATTATTCTACAAACATTCTACTACAAAACAATTACA